TAAGGGGGGGGGGGCGGGATGGAAGCAATGTAAGACCTTCAAGGCTATATAATAAGTCATTTAGGTTTTTCTTGGGTCTCTTAGAACGTGTGTACTTGGAGCTCAACTGCCATGTAATAACACCAAATACCCTGTGGTTATCTTGCTGGAGAGGCCACAGGGAGAAATCACATGGTCAGCCCTATGACTACAAGAAAGGAGAGAAAGAGCAACCGTGAGTTTTAAGTATCAGGCCTATCCAGTCATCCCAGGTGAGGGCACAGCCATCATATAATAGAAACAGGTCATCCCACCTGTCCTACCCAAACTGTAGACACATGAGCAAAAGGGACTGTTGTTTTAAGACATTGAATTTTGGAGTGGTTCATAATTCAGCAATAACTAACTAGAATATAATTCAGACTAGGGAAGTGGGTTTTGAAAATGGTACAGTGGCTCTGAGACCACACCATAAGAAAAAGCTGGAAGTCCCTTGAAGAGACTGTCAGTAGAATCTCAAAGAGCATCAGAGTGAGGATTTGAGGGATAGTGAAATAGTGAAAAATATACTTTTAGAGAGAAAAAAAAAACAGAACCTGTTTTATGTAGTTTCAGAAAGTTTGGCACAATTTTTGCTCAACAAATGTGAAAAATAGGAAGACCTTTCCAGCCAGATTATAGAAACTGCCGATCAGCTTCTTACAACCACCTATGAGAAAATATGAAAGAGAGAGAGGGAGAGAAGAGAAATGAACTAATTAGGAATTATTGACACTGTAAATAGAATTTAGAGGAAATTGAAAAGGGCCAGAACTGGCTTGATTTGAAAATAAAACTGTTTGCCAACATAGTCTCTAAGCAAGAGTCTTAGGATGCCACTAAAGTGTGAACTTCAGGATAAACTAAAAGATGTGACTGTAAAACCATTTATAAAGAACTCAGGTAGTTTTAAAGTGTACTAGGGGTTCTAAATATTGGGTCATTGGGAAAATCATGACACTTTTTTGCATGGAGAAACAGAAAGAGATGTCGTGACTTTTCCAACAACCTAATATTTTATGGGCATGCCTTATGGACTCTCTGTGTTAAACAAGATTTTAGGAATATTAATATTCCACAGTGGCCACACAGATGGAATAAGGTAGAAAAGGGTATGTCTTGGGAAATATATTGCTTGTAAAGTTGATTATAAATTGATCCATAAGAGACTCAAATCAAGAGACAACAAATTCACTAAGCATACCTGTTCTTTATATAGAAGGTGGCATAATTTTAAACAGTAAAAATTCCTACACCATCTTTTGCAAATACTGCATGTTCCATTTATTGCTATATTTGCAGTCATTTGTAAAAAGTGCACTTGTATTTAACATCCTCTTCTTAAAAACAATAGGACACGGGGTCAGCAGGTAGTGCAGTATTATATTGCTAGACTCCTACATGGCTGACCACCCTGACCTGGTGGCTTGAAAATCATGCCTGGCACATGTGTGCGCATGCCCACAATCCCAGGAGGAGAATGAAGGAGAAGGGACTGCGGTGTGGCCATTCCCCCAGGGGATGATTTCTCACTTTCCCTCTCACTGTCTCTTTCTCTGTCTCTCTCTCTCTCTGGCAAGCACACATGCTCTCTGGCAAAAACTTTTTACAAACAAAATAGGAGGACCAGAAGACGGTGTAATGGTTATGTCATTGGACCCTCTCATAGTCGACCATGGTTCGAGTCCTGGGCCTGGCAGCTTAAAATCACACTGGGTGTGTCTGCATGGATGTCCAAAATCCAAAGAAGAGAATGGAGGAGAAGGGATTGTGGCATGGCCATCCACCCTCCAGGAGGTGATTTCTTGCTTTCTGTCTCTCCAGTGAGCAAGCCAAGTGATGTATATCAATCTAATGTATAAAAAAAAAAAAAAGAAAAATTAAATAAAATAGGAAGCAGCAATTTATAATATTAATTCTACATGTTTACCACTAGGGAGGAGATATCATTCAGTAAGGGGTGAAAATTATTGAGCTTCAAACCTTCAAACCTCAAACCTAAAAAGGTACACTTAACCAGGAGTGTTACAAACAAATCAACATGGAAGACCAAAAATAACAGGAATATTACTTAGTAGGGTAGTATCAGAGCATGGGGACTTGATTTTTCATTCCCTGTGTCTCCATCTTTGACTAACAATAAAATTCTTGGGTCAAGGCATTCACAACTCTGGACTCTACAAGGACACTGTCAACCTTCACATCTGAATTGCTCTTCTTTCCTTGTTTGTTTCTGACCTAACTTCCTTCTGATCAATATGTGCTTTTCTTTGGCTATATTAAAACTATTTGCTAAGTTATATCAACTGTTGTGCTGTCCTGAACACCATTCTTTCTCTTTGAAATGGCTTTGGATATTCCTGACCTCCTCTCTTATAGACATATTATAGGCCATGAGATTGATGTTTTGTTTTGATTTCCAAAACTCAGATAATAACTAACAAAGGAGAGGCCGAGCCACTCCTAGGATCGTCCAAGTGAGTGCAGAGTTTACTGACTGTCAGGCAAGAGAATACATACCAGAGAGAAAGATTTACTGCATAGTTTTTTGAGGGAGAAACTTCAGAGAGTATTACGAAGTGATATTATGAGCTAAGGAAGTAGTACAATGTCATAGAGGTTATGCTAAAAACTCATTTGTTTGGAGACCAGAGGTTGGTACGGTGGTGAAATGCAACTCCCTATGAGGCTGACCCACATTGAAAGGTTCTGTGTTTGCTTCCAGAGACCTCTGAAAGCATGGTGGGCTTGCGCATGTCCATGATCCAGGTGTAGATGGAGTTGGGATGAATAATGACAGCAAGACACTGTTGGGGGTATTGTCTCTCTGTCTCTCTTTCTCATTGAAGAAATAGGCGATATTTGAAAAATAATAATTGATGTTTGCTCTCTGAATAAGGTTCAATGGTCCATAGTTTATGAAAGGTTAGTTAAAAACAAGCCCCACTGTTGACTGGTCAGGAAAAAGTTTTTAGTGTGTCCAGTAACGGTCAGATATCTTGGAGTCACTAAGATTCACATTAATTTATCAGCTATGGTTGATTAATGCTTCATGTTCCTGATGCCTTAAGACCTTCAGCCAGTTAGAACCAGCTGTGGAAAAATACTGCATTTAGTCTGAGTGTATCATAGGCGATTACTGCTTTGAGTTGAAAGTCTTTCTTTTACATATCTCATCATCACTACCATTTATAACCTACTTTAATTATGTCCAAGACTCATATTCCATCTTAGTAGGATACATACAAGCTGATGTGCATTTTTACATTCTTCACTGCATCTCCCACAGTGACCAGAATGTAGAAGATGCTCAGTAAAGGCTTGTTGAATTAATGAATACACAAAGTAGACATTTTTTTTTTTTAAATTTTGCCATAGGGTTCATGCACTTACCAGAGAGAGGGACAGAGTGGGAAAGTGGGATGGGTCCACTTCAATTCCTTCTCTCATTTTCCTCTCAGGATTTGGGTGTGCACTCACATGAGCCTCACACGTTTTCCAAGCTGCTGGGTCTAGGACTCGAAACATGGAGTTAGTCATATGGGGATCCCACCTTAACCACCACTCTACCTGCTGGTCCCAAGGCAAAATTTTTACTTTACACTGTTTTTTTTTTTTTTCATTTTATCTAGATTAATGTATATGTACTATGAAATCTCTGTAACAAGTTTTTTAACATTTTATATAGATTATCACATAACATAGCAAAATCCTCATCAGTTATACCTTTTTCTTCATAGCCATTAGCAAGCAGCAGTTGGTTACAAATAAGATCCATATATAAGTTATTGCTCTCTGCTTCTAATTAACTGATAAATTAAGTGATAAATGAAATATACAGCATTCTATTTACAGCAGACATTCAACAAACATATAAGACTAAAAGACATACCCTCCCAAATACATTAGAGAGGATTGATTGTCAAGACAATTTTAAATATAGTTCTCAAATAAAGCAATGATCATAATGACTCTCATTAAGTTGTTTAAATTATAGATGAACAGATAGATGGCATGGAGCTAGAAATGGATAAATCACAAAAGTTAAAACGGATATATTAATTGCTTAGAAAATATTCAAGACACATGTTTATATTAAGAATAGGTGTCTGGGCAATATGGGGTCTTTTATGATTCCAGACAAATTTTATGATTGTCTTTTCTAGATCTGTGAAGAATGTGTCTGGTACCTTGATTGGTATTGCATTAAATATGTAGATTAATTTGGGTAGAAATGGGTGGCATATCACTCCCTGACCCCAAAATATACTACAAAGCTGTGGTAATCAAAACAGCATGTTACTGGCACAGAAAAAGACATGTAGACCAATGGAACAGAATAGAGTACCTCACAGAAATAAATTCCCAAACAAACAGTCAACTGACTTTTTTTTTTTTTGAGAGGTTTTTGCTATAGGGCTCATGCACTCACAAGGAAGACAGAGACAGAGAGACAGAAAGCAAGAAATCATCCCCCAGGGGGGATGGCCACACCACAATCCCTTCTCCTCCATTTTCCTCTCGGGATCTTGGGCACACACGCATATGCACCTGGCATGAGTTTAAGCCACCAGGTCCAGGACTCGAACCATGGTTGACTACATAGGAGTCCAGCGACACAGACATTATGTCAACTGCTGGTCCCAGTTGAGGAAATTTTTAAACAAAGTGTTGGAGGTGCAACCTTTCTTTTTGCTGCTTACAGTAAAATGTGAGAAGAAAAAGATGAACTGAGTTAGGAATACTGCCTCCAAACTGCTACATTGAAATCCTGCCTAAGTTTTCCTCAGATTTTGAATTATCTGTAAATTTTGGACTCATGAATGCAACATTAACTCTTATCTGAATAATTTCCAGACTAATAGCTTGACCAACAAATTTTGGACTTGCTGACTTCCACAATCATGTGAGCTAATTATTTAAAAATCTCAATTTCAAAATCAATCAATCTCTCAGGAACCAGTAGTTAGCGTAATGGCTCTGTCACTGGACTCCCACGTAGTCGACCGCGGTTCGCGTCCCGGACCCGGTGGCTTAAAACTCATGCCGGGCACATGTGCGTACATGCCCAAGATCCTGAGAGGAGAATGGAGGAGAAGGGTTTGTGGCGTGACCATCCACCCTGGGGGGTGATTTCTCGCTTTCTGTCTCTCTTTCTCTCTCTGTCTGTCTGGCGAGCGCACGCGCCCTATAGCGAAAAAACCTACCCCCCCCCAAAAAATCAATCTCTCTCTCTCTTTGTGCATATGTATATACATATAGACATATATAGTTTGTGTTTCAGTCCGTTTGTGAAGTACCTTAAATAATGTGAAAAGCCCTTGTAACCAAGGAAATCACATATCACTTTTGCTTTAGAAAGCTCACTCTGATGAGGGGTGTGCAAACTGACTTGAAGAGGAAAAGGCCATTGGTTCTGTTTCTCTGAAGAACTCTGATCATCATAGATGTTTAGGGCAAACTTCTGAGAAATGTAAACACACATTCATGAAGACTATTCTGTGTCCTTGAGTCATTCCTTCCACTTCAAAAGTGGGTACCCTAAATTGTGTCAAATTATTTTTTCTTCTTTGCCCATCAATTTTATTTCCCCACTGTCTGACTTTAAAAAAATGTTTTTATTTTTCTTTTTACAGATAGTTTCCAAACCTGTAGTCATGAAGTTTTTCCCTAATTTCCACTTATGATTAGTTATTGTATATTGAATATCTAAGTTTCACATTCTGGTAAACAGTAATACTATTCTAGTCTATCTAAGAAAGGAAATTGGAGATTTCAAACTCTTTCCCCCTTTTCCCACATCAAATTAACTGCTAATTCTGAGTCCAAAATATCTCCCAAGCACCCCTTCATCCTCATTCTCTGCTACCAATACCCCCAGGACCTTACTTTGGCTTACCAGATTATGAAAATATAAAACGTTCTTCCTCTCATCACCTTGTTCACTCTCCTTTTCATTCCATGTCACACACATGGTCTCAGTAAGCCTCCTAAAGCAAAAAATACGGTTATTTCCTTCTTTACAATGACTTCTGCACAAGAAAACTGGAAGGTTAACTAATGAGTCCCTCTTCTAGGTCCTTCACAAACTGGCTCAAACTATTCTTTCCATATTTAACTCATGCCAATGTTCTACTCTCTCCCAAGCACTTTAAATGCAAATAGAAATGTAGAAAAAAAAAACATATACATAGAAGAATATGAATGAAATGATACAAAACTGGTCTAAAAAGGAACTCAAAGCTGTAGTTTCCGCTGTAGACACATGGTGGCAGCATCTTAGCAGCTTAAGGCCAGTACCAGAGATCCTTTGCTAATGTTGAATTAACATGTCATACAATCGTGTATGTCCTTTTAATGACAATTGTGATGTTACTTTAAACATTTATTAATGCACCGCTACTGCTGAAAATGCTCCACAAAATCAATAACTTTGAAACAGGATTTAAAGGTGACAAAGTTCCTTTTTTTTTTTTTTTATTTAGAGGTTTTTGCTATAGGGCATGTGTGCTGGTTGGAGAGACAGAGACAGGGAGACAGAAAGTGAGAAATCACCCTCCCGGGGGGATGGTCATGCTACAATCCCTTCTCTCCATTTTCCTCTTGGGATTTTGGGCATGCACACACATGCACCAGCATAAATTTCAGGCCACTGGGTTTTGTGTCTCAGTCCATTTGTGAACGACTTGAACTGTGGTCGCCTAAGGGAGTTCAGTGCCTTAACCACCATGCCACCTGCTAGCCCCAGAGTTACTTTTTTATTTTTATTTATTTTTTTATTCCCTTTGTCATGCTCTGCATTATTTTCCTCTCCAAATTCATTGGTTGAAGCTTGAACCATGTGTACACCAGAAGTGTCTGTATTTGAGTCATAGAGACAGTAAAGTTAAAATGAGGTCATGCAGGTTGGGCCAAAGCACCTATGACTGTTGTCCTTATAAAAAGGAGAACTTAGGACATGGACATGTGTAGAGGGCCAATGTAAAGAGACAGTGAGAAGATCTACAAGCTAAGGAGAGGGGTTTCAGAAGAAACCAGCAGAGCTAACACCTTGATCTCAGACTTCTGGCCTTTAGAATGGTGAGAAAATAACTTCCCTTTGCTTAAGCAATGCAGTCTGTGGTACTTTATTATGGAAGCCCTAACAAATGAATATACCCTTCAATATGTTTAAAAACGTAAGTGCCATGCAATAGTAGTTGATTAATGAATCAGTCTTGATTTTTGAGTCTAAGTTATGTGAGATCTTCACAATCCCTTGCCTCAAATAAAATGCCCCTATCCTAAATCCTTACTGCGATCCTCCATCAACTTTCAACCCACTATATCGCATGTTTTTACTCATTTGTACCCTTGCTCAGCAGAGCAGAGTTTAATGGAGTGGTTAAGGGTGCAGGCTCTGAGCCAGACTTCTTGGGCTCACAGTCTTCATCACTGTGTGACTCTAAGCAGTTATTTAAAATGTCTCGGATGTTGGCAACCTGCTCTTTAGGTTCAGCCTAAGGAGGAAACGACAAGAACGAACTACTCACACACCACAATATGAGGAGAGAGGGAAGCTTAGAGGGCAAGGTTTCTCTTATCCTTCTTTGCTCGCAATCTAGGTTTTAGTTCAGTATTTACTGACTAAAATAGACAGCCAGGTCTGTGAAACATCAGATTGAGAAGTTAGCAGAGTTTGTCACATGGTTGATCTTACCTTCTTGTTCTCTGTACCATGTATAGAAAGCTCGAAAGACAAAGCAAATAATACAACATACAGGAGGGGAAGGAGTTTTATCTATAGCAATTCCTTAAAGCAAAGCAGTCTGTCAACTGTTTCAACATGTCTACAAGCACTACTTGCTGAAAGCTATATTCTAATTTATACTCTTACTTAGTCAATTAGTAATGGTCATAGGATTTCCTTCTCTTGGACACCTTTTTCTCAGATGTCTGTACAGCAGAAATAATAGGAAGGTCTGCATTAGAGGGCTCTGTAAGGATTAAATGTACAGAGTGTGACGAATAGTGCGGGGAACAGCAGAGTATGGTATGCTGATTATCCCTCTGCTCCCCAGTTCTCTCTTTGAGGAGGAAAAATAAAAACTGCTTATCCTTCAAGAAACAGAGAGGGACCAGCAGTTAGCATAATGGCTATGCTGCTGGACTCCCATGTAGTCGACTGCAGTTCGAATCCCGGACCCGGTGGCTTAAACTCATGCTGGGTGTGTGTGCGTATGTGCCCAAGATCCCGAGAGGAGAATGGAGAAGGGATTGCGGCATGGCCAACCCCCCTGGGGGGTGATTTCTCGCTTTCTGTCTCTGTCTTTCAGGCGAGTGCACAAGCCCTATAGCAAAAACCTCTCTCTTTAAAAAAAAAAAAAAAGGCACAGAAGAAAAGATACCTCCTCTTTGAAGCTTCAGTAACTCCATCTTCCCTTTCTTCTCAAGTGGAATTATAAACTTGTGTTGTCAAAGACTTGTAGAGAGAAAAGCTTTGGTTTCTAACAATCTGGACTTACAGATTTTCTCATTTACCCATTGTGCAATTTTAGACAATTTTGCTTACTTTCTCTGCGTTTCTATTGCTAGAACATCACTTGACATGTGGTGACTGGCATTATTCTAATAACTATTTTTATCTGAAAATTAGGAAATATCCTGTCAGCCTCATTAGATATTATAGTATTCTGAAGTGTAGGACCTATGAAGTACCAACACATTTTAGGTTAGAAACAGACATGCTGTTAAAGATACCAAATCATACAAAGTTCTTTCAACTTTCTTTTAATACTTCTGTTTGGGTCAAGTAGAAAAATCTCAGTTTGATGCCAACATTTTAAAAATTTTCTCTAATTCTTGCTAATCTTTTTTTTTTTTGAGAGGTTTTTGCTATAGGGCATGTGTGC